GGAGTCGGCATCGCCGGATCTTGGCGGGGGCATACTCCTACGCGTGCTCAAGGTGATGGGGTGAACTCCAACGACGGCGATGGCAACAAACTCCAAAGGCAGCGGCGGCGGCGAACTCCAAGAGCGACGTCAGTAGCGGACTCCAAGGGCGCCGGCGAACTCCAAGGGAGACGTACGCGATCCTGCGAGTGGCCAGATCCAGCGCGGCTGGCTCGTTTGGCCACCGGCGGCGCGAACCCTAGAATCAACAGGAGTGGGGCGGCGCACCCACGAGCCCGGCAGCTCCTCCGTTCTTCCTCGCTTCGACCTCCTCCCCCTGCGCAAGGACGGGAGGAGCGGCGGCGCTGCGCGCGGACGGAAGGAGCAGCGGCGATCTCGGGCTGTGTGTGGCCCACGGGAGAAGCTGCGGTGCTGCGTGCGGACGGCAGGACGGGAGGAGCAGCGGCACGTACAGGAGACGAGCATGAGGATAAGGCCAACGCGAGCGAGTGGGCTGAGAGTGGACCGAAGTCAAGTGACCGGACAGTTGGGCTGAAAGAATGGGCCAGACGAAAGAGGCCCAGACGAAAAAATAGACTGAAATTTTGTCTTTTTATTATGTGCAAAATGCTATTAAAGAAAAGAAGGAGTGCTATAATCGCTTATATCATGACAGGTGTGCGAACAACATAGAGAAGTACAATGTGACAAAGAAGACTGCAAAACGAGCGGTGAGTGAGGCAAAGGGGTGGGCCTATGAGGACCTTTAACGACGTTTGAGTACGAAGGAATGAGAGAATGACATTTATAGGATGGCTAGGGCTCATGATAGGAAGACAAAGGATTTCAACCAAGTCAAGTGCATAAAGGATGAGAGGGAGCGGCTCTTGGTGAAGGAGGATGAGATCAGACATAGATGGCAAGAATATTTTGATAAAGTGTTCAATGGTGAGAACGAGAACAACACCGTTCAGCTGGACGACTCATTTGATGACACTAACATGCGCTTTGTGCGGAGGATTCAAGAATCGGATGTCAGAGACGCCTTGAAAAGGATGAAAGGGGCGAAAGCGATGGACCCTGATGGTATCCCAATCAAGGTGTGGAGATGTCTCGGGGATATAGCTATAGTATGGCTAACCAAGATGTTCAACAATATCTTTTGATCGAACAAGATGCCCGATGAGTGGAGAAGAAGCATATTGGTACCAATCTACAAGAACAAGGGAGATATCCAAAGTTGTACTAATTATCAGGGAATTAAGTTGATGAGCCACACTATGAAGTTATGGGAGAGAGTCATCGAGCAGCGCCTGCGAGGAACGACGTAGATATCATCAAACCAATTTGGTTTCTTGCCCGAAAGATCAACCACAGAAGCAATCTTCTTAATAAGACAAGTTATGGAGCGGTTTAGAGAGCAGAAGAAGGACCTCCACTTAGTTTTCATTGACTTGGAGAAGGCTTATGACAAGATACCACGAAATGTTATGTGGTGGTCTTTGGAAAAACATAAAGTCCCATCATAGTACGTGACCCTCATCAAGGACATGTACAACAATATTGTGACTAGTGTTCGAACAAACGATGGTAACACAGATTACTTTTCGATTAAAATTGGACTTCATCAAGGGTTAGCCTTAAGCCCGTATCTCTTTGCCTTGGTAATGGATGAGGTTACCAGGAACATACAAGATGATATCCCTTGGTGTATGTTGTTCGTTGATGATGTAATGTTAGTGCACGAAAGCTAGGCGGACGTAAATAGAAAACTAGAGTTATGGCGGTAGACTCTTGAGTCGAAAGGTTTTAGATTGAGCAGAACTAAAACCGAATACATGAGATGCGACTTTGGCGGAGTTGTACAGGAGGAGAGAGATGTGAGTTTAGAAGGTCAAGTAGTGCCTAAAATGATATCTTTCGGTATCTAGGATCGATGCTACAGAGGGATTGAGATATTGATGCGGACGTTAGCCATAGAATCAAAGCAGGGTGGATCAATTGGCGACAAGCTTCTGGCATTCTCTGTGACAAGAGGGTACTACAAAAGCTAAAAGGCAAGTTCTATAGAACGACAATTAGACCGGCTATGTTGTATGGAGCATAATGTCAGCTTACAGAGATTCGACATGTTCAACAACTGAGTGTTGCAGATATGAGTATGTTGCGATGGATTTGCGGTCACACAAGAATGGACCGAGTTCGAACGATGATATACGTGATCGCCTAGAGGTAGCACCAATTGAAGAAAAGCTTATCCAACATCAGTTGAGATGGTTTGGCCATATCCAAAGGAGACTTCCAGAGGCACCAGTGCATTATGGAGTTCTAAGCCAAGCTAATAATATGAGAAGAGGTAGAGAAAGACCAAAATTAACATGAGAGGAGACAATAAAAAGAGATTTGAAAGCTTGTGATATACCTAGAGATCTATGTTTGAATAGGAGTACTTGGAAAGCAGCTATTGAAGTGCCTGAACCGTGACTTGGGGCTCTTGGTAGGTTTCAACTCTAGCCTACCCCAATTGATTTAGGACTAAAAGGCTATGTTGTTGTTATTGTTAGTATAGATATAGATATAGATATAGAGGTATATATATATATATAGATAGATTAATTAAAGTTGCGGATTGTGTAGATCTCCCCCACAGTATTTTTGATAAAAAAGCACTAGATAGATTGTTTAGAAGTTCGAGTTTTGCATGTTGTTATTCGTTACCCTCTTCCTCACGACTCTCACTTTCTCTCTCCTTTAATACAGTTGGATCTCCGATAGTTTTTTTTGAGAAACGAGTTTATATTTCATTCATATATTTTTTGTGATTACAACACTTTCCTTATAAAGACACCCTCGAAAGAAAAATAAATTGTACTCTAGTCCTTGTAAGCTCCTCCCGGTCTTCCTCGCCGCCTGCAGTCAGAGTACGCAACTTGAAGCTGACTTCCTCCACGGCGAAGAAACACGGTTTTTAGTTGCCGTCTTGAGCAACACATTGGATCCGACATGCTTTGTCGACGCTAGAATGACCCGGCTGAAGAAGATGGCCATTGACCATCACATCGCCAGACAATGAGGACTCCGACGCCTCAAGGACTGCCAGAAACCCTAAATCGCCAGACGACGAAGCACCCTGAAGGGGAACTGAACCACCAAAATAGGTAGGAGCTAAACACCAACCCGATTTGACTTCATGTTGGTAAGCAAACCTCCCAAGTCCAACGCCAGAGAGATCAGCATCGCCGACGAAGACAAAGGAGGGGCAAAAAGACCCAACGAGATCTGGAGCTCTAGATCCGGGGAACTCACACCAAACCAGCTCATCGCTGGCACCAGAAGACTCCCCAGCGAGGCGGAGAAGAAGCCGGAGACACTTATTCCACCACCGCAGCCCCGCCTCCACCTTGCAAGCACTGCTTGGATCCAAACTACCTATACTATATGGATATATGTACAACGGCTACCTCAATCCCCGTTTCCCATCCTCTCCAGGGCGCCGATCCGGCCACTGGAGTGGAAGGGGAACGGAAGAAATCGGCACCGGACGGTGTTTGCCTCCTGACCGCCTGCTCTCAACTGTAGCTAGGGAAGGGACCTGATATTTGTTGGATCTCCGACAACTTGTCCAGACACCGCTTGGGCCCTCCAGCGCCAGCTTTCCCTTGTGCCGGACGCGCTACAGGAGATTGCTCATCAGGTTCGTTCAGTTCTTGCAACTTGGCTGTCATCAGGCCTTTCACACGGCGTGAGGCAGCACTGCCAATGCATGAAACGTCACGTTAAAAAATTACTAGCTTCACTACTACTCTCTCCGTTCTAAAATAATAGCAAGGTAGGTTTCAAAATTTACCCTAAATAAATGTGCACATGTAGGCTATCATATCATGTCAACACGTGGGACCAAATGTGAAGAGAGGAAAAAAAACGGCAAGCTCCCCGTCCACTCATCCCCAGCCTTTTCAGTTTTCACGCCCTCCCACATGGAGGTTCTCCCTTTCTTTCCAGGTAGTAGCTCCGGACAATGATTCACGGTTTTTGTCGGGCTGTGTTTAGTTCGTAAATTTTAGAATTTGGTTACTGTAGCATTTTTTTTTTATTTAGCAATTAGTGTTTAATCATGGACTAATTAGGCTCAAAACGTTCGTCTCACAATTTTCAACCAAACTGTGCAATTAGTTTTTTTTTTCTACATTTAATGCTCCATACACGTATCATAAGATTCGATGAGTTGACTACTACAGCACTTTTTAGAAAACTTTTTGAAAACTAGACAAGCCCTCAGAGTCGGTTGTCTTTTCTATAGGGGCAGCACCGTAAGTCTCTTTCCTAAGTTATTTGATACAGAGTTGCTCATTTGAAACCTAGACATGCTATTATTTGATACAGAGGGAGTACCTGACAAAGTTCGTATTTTCCAAATTTGAATGGAGGCCGCCATGCAGTCTGGGAACGACACAACCTGCTTTTGCTTTGTTGTGCCTCTTTTCTAATACCCTTTTCCTATATCTCGTGTGTCTGATTTTTTTGTTGTTGTTCAAATAACATGCAATTTTATCATTGTCTGGATATAGAAAAAATTATTAATTCTCTTGTGAGTTATCCTTTCAGTTGTACTAGTTCTTTGTGGAAGATTATCGCAAAAAGAAATACTTGTATCTCTTAAACATTGTAGCCCACGCAAGAGCGGAGGCTGTATAATTCATACATCCAGTAGAACTAACTAGGAACAGTGGAACTATAACAAGTCGGTTGGAGCAAACTTGACTGAACAACCGGACCCGACTAACAGAGCATATATATTTTTCGCAATCGTGTCGAAGCACGTTTTTCATTAGGCAGAAGTAAAGTTTTATAATTTAAAGCTGGCACGGTAATTAGTGATTACTGAGCCAAACACCCAAAAGAACTACTTAGCAACTGTAACAAGGAACAAAAGCTCACAAGAGCATATGCATCACTCTGCAATGCAAGCGGCGCGCTCGAGGTGACAGAGCGAGGCGGCTATCCATCTGATTCTGATCGCATCACTGGACGTTGACGGCGAGCTTCATGCCGGACTGGCAGTGGCCTTCAATGCCGCAGATGAAAAAGAACTGGCCGGCCGAGCCCAGCGTCACGTGGTCGTCCCCGGAGGTCAGCGTCGGCGCGTTGCTCGGCACGGTGCACGCCTTGTAGCTCCCCGCGTCCACCATCACCACGTTGTGGGTGGCCTCCTCCGTAGAGTACAGGAACTCTGCGAAGAATCACGACCCATACGCGTCAGTCGATCGATCGGTGAATCGCGAGCGCACGTCATGCATGCGGGTGCAGGACTGAAGATGTAGCGATAGGTGATCACGTACCGAGCGTGTCGCCGACCTTGAAGTTCTTGCCTCTGGCCCAGGCGTCGTAGTCCACCTCGAGGTCCCAGCCGGAGTCGTCCCCAACCATGTAGTTCGCCGCCGACGCGGTCGCCGGGAGCAGAGCGCCCACGACGACGACGGCCATGGCGGCGGTGATGATGAGCAGCGCCTTACGCGAAGCCATTCCGATCCGCAGAGACAGCACAGAGCAGCTAACACACAGCCGGGTGAGTGAGTGCAGGCAGCAGGCGTTTGATCTATCGTTCACCTGATGCCCGGATCGATGCCGCAGGGTGTAGCGCTTATATATATATATGGTTCTGGTTATCACTGTATCAGTATCAGAGTTGAGCGCACTGCGCACGTATGTGTATATATAGTATTATAATCAAACACCACCATTGTATTCAGAGAACGAATGACGGAGCATCTTTCTGTCTTGGTGCGACCGCCGACCACCGGTTGCGTTGGCAGCGTTTGCGAGAAGACGTGTGTTTTGCGGTGTATTCGATGGAGATCCAGCGATGAAAATGGTGACATACCAGGCTACAGCTACACAGTGCAGGGGAGGGAAATGAATTCGTCGTCTCATTGGCAGGGTGCGTGGGGTCTCTTCGCCTGGACTGATGACCAATTCCAAGAATCTTTTTTTACTAGATAGAGTATCTTATATAAATCTCTGGGGTTCGTTTGTTGGAGGTAGAATTTGATGGATCCAAGTGTTACAAGGTGGGGCTGCACCTGCATGGCGCGATCCGGCCGAGCACGGGGCTAAAGGAGATAAAACTTGATATTCCAACACAATGAAAGTTGCCATGTGCAGCGGATGCAGATTAGGCCATCTCGAGTGGCTTCCTCAAAGCGATGCATCTAGGAGAGAGAGAGAATCGGGCAAGTTTGGTAATCGATTCTTCCCAGAGAACAAGCAAGTGATGGATCATGGATCCCACACAACTGCTTGCAACCGAATCTTGCTGCCAGAGAAAGATTTTAAGGTGAACCCACTTGGTGAGAAGAAAAAATAGTTTTTTGATGGATCATAGGTCTCTCACCCAATTACATGCAACATAACCTTGCTACTCGACAAGATTTTTTAAAGTGAACCCGTTTGCTATTGGAGAAGATTTTTAAAGTGGACCATCGGACAGATGTGGCGTATGATCCTATGCAATGACTGCGGATGCTCTTATGTTGGGTGTCACAACTGTTTAAACCTAAAAAACAAATGAATGGGATGGCAGCTTGATTCAGATGTATTCTATCCTCACTGACGTGGATAGAATAATGAAGACCGTATCCCACATCATCAGGCAGAGGAAGTGTGCTAGCTTGCCTTCATGCCTTGGCTGGCACCATGTCGTTGGCGGCGTCTTGGCCTCCCAAGGACTCACAATAGTTGAGCCACGGTAGTGGGTATGTCGTGCCGTCGATCGTGGGGAAGGATAGCTGGGCTTAGTGTTGTTGGGGGGTTGGCGAAGGTTCTATTGCTGTCAATTGCAGTGGTTGCTGCGGTGGTATATGCGCTGAGGGTATTGCCTCTAGAGGTGCCGTTGTATCTGCTGGCAGGTACGGGGGCAAAAGAGGTAGCATCTCCTTGAGATGCTTGTTGTCCTCCTTGAGTTGATCTGCAATGATCTCCTGTTCTTGTTTTGCCTTGATTATCGTTGCGGTGTTGGAGTCCTGCGGTGTGTTGTTCTCCGGCTGAATTGGGTCTGTTATCGATGGGGAATTGTTGCACCATCAAAGAACTCGTTGAACTTCCACGTCCAACGATCGAGGACCTTGCTGAAGTCATCGACGACGTCCTCCTTGGAGCGTGCACGCTCGATGTTGCTCAGGTGGGCGTTGTTGTTCGTCAACTTGGTGGTGTCAGTCGCGGGAGCCCTGAGGTTGGTGATCGGTGCTGAGGCAGTCTCTTCCGAAAGCTGGTTTGGATCCGCTATCGGTTCAGGGTTGTCGAGGCGAGCGAAGAGGTGGCCAAACTTCTTCATCCACTAGTCGGTGACTTTGCAGATGTTGAGGTGCTCTTGGAGACATGGGTGCTCGTTGTTGTGGCGAGCGTCGTTCTCCATAAGCTTGGTGTCGAGGCCGCGGTAGAGATGACTGGCGGCGGCGCGGCTAGCCGCATGTTTGCTGTAGGGTGCAGCAGGCAACGATGGGGCTGCGGTACTGGACAGCAGCGGGCTGCTGCTGTTGTTTGTGGTGGCGGGAGCCCCGAAGTTGTTGTTCGGAGCATACCCGTTGTCGACGATGTGGTAGAAGTCGTTCCCATGAGGAACGAACCTGCTGTTGCAGATGTTCTTGTTGAAGTTGTCCATCAGCATGGTTTGGATCGTTCTGGTCTCCAGATACCAGGTGTAAGAGGCAAGTTGGGAGGGGGCCCTCTAAGGGGCAACGGCTATGGTGGAGGAGAGGTGGCGGCTAGGGTTTGGGGAAAGAGGAGCAGGAGATGGCGCATGGAGAGAGGAGAGGGAGACGCTGAGAGAGAGAGAGAGAGAGGGCGGAGAGGGATAGGGAAGCCCTTAGGTTGTTCTTTCATGATCCCAGATGATTAAATTGCCTATCTATTTATAGTCATGAGTAGACTTGCATCTTAAGTAATCTAACGAGGAAGATCCTTATAGATTTGGACTCCTCTCGATCCTATCTAATCTAAACCGGATCTTCTGGATATGGATGTCGGCGGTGTAGCGGGAGGCCGCCCTCATCGGGCGTGCCCCCCCCTGGGCGGGCCTGGGCCCCTCCTGGACCCTCCATTAGACGTATGACACCCTCTCTATATTCTAGCCTCAATCTGACATCAACCCAATCTGAAAGGAATGTGATTCTTAAATAATGAATACCATTCAATTCCACAGAAACGGACATCAAAGTGTATACGGTTTTAGTGATGCACCGTTTTGGAGTGGAGAAGGATCAAACATTAGAAATTACTATTCTAATAGACGTGAAATTAGAAAAAGGTCGTTAACCTAAGGTCTTGTTTGGATACACATGTATCAACCTCAATCCACATGTGTTGAAGTAGATTGAAGTGGAACTCAAACTAATTTTCACTCAAATCCACCTCAACACATGTGGATTGATGTAGATAGATGTGCATCCAAACAAGGCCTAAATTGGAAAACTATATAATGGGGGTATTATAGGTACAAGGTGCTTTTTTTTTACATGCGCCTCTGTTGATTCAAATTAACTGATGCATCTATTATAATTTTAATTCAGTGTTGATCATTTATGTCTCTGTAGGCTCTATGTACCGCTTTTTTGTTTCATAATGCCTGTCACCTAAATAGTTGCTTTTTTAAAAAAAAACTTAAATAGTTGCTAATTTGTCAGTCTGAAATGAAAGACCACACGGCTGTCTCATGCCGTTGTGTGATTTTGCAGGTTGTGTGATTGTGCACATAGCAATTTATAATACTGAATGAATCATGGAACTCCAGTTCTATAACACCGTAATGACATCAATGTAGGATTTTTTTTTTAAAGAAACACAATTCTAAGGTTTGTTTCAAGGTATAAGTGACTAATATGTCCCATTGCGTTAATGGACCATCCACTTACAACTTCGTATGGTCACTCTTTGATATTCTCCAAAGTGCTGGATGTATGTGTTTTGCACGGTTGCACCACCAACCTTGTTTTTGAGTGGAGAAAGATAGCAAGAATCCTCATCTCTGAAACAAAAGCAACGGAGAAGACTGCAGTCTTATCTTGAAAATTGTATTTATGCAATTAGTACAATAGTACACTAAGGAGCACTTGCTCATTTTTAAACAGAATCACAGTGCATGCGTGTTTCTGGTGTTTGTTTTATTCACACTGACCACTCCTGGTGTGTGGTGCTACATTTAATTACTGATTTAATATTACGAATTTCACCTTTTGTTGGTTCTTAGAGTTTTTTTCTCTATTGTAATTATTTGTCTTCATCAATATATCAATATATGTAACTATTTTTGTAACTTATGCAAATAAATATGTGAAGAGGTGTAGGTAGCCATTCACTTACTAACATCTGCGCTCCGCACCCATCACACAACGCACGAGCAAGGAACGCTCTTTTTCACTTGACGTAGGGTATCCTGTTACCTGTACCTTTCAGTGTCCCATGTGCTACCTCTCTCAATTGTGTTTGATTGTTTATATTTTATTACTTGTAGTCACCTTCATGTTCTAACAGAGGTCTCATGTTTCTATTAGAGCTAAGAGATACCCATCAGCTTTTGCAAATCTGCATTACCAGATTACCTATACGGCCAAATCTTTGCTTACCTGCTAATGCTTCACTGAGCCTGCTTTGAACACTATGCAAGTTTGCATAAGAGCCTCTGCAAAGAACCAAACACATGTAAACTACACTGGACAAGACTAGATACAGACTAATGTAGGCAATCATTCATACCCTATATGGCTTTGTTTTGTTTATAAAATATTCGTGCTACGATAATGAGACACACAATCTATATATTGCATGCATATCGTTTGGACCAGTATTGGTGGTTCTAAGTATCTCATACGTATCTTAAAAATGCGTAAGAAACTTGAGCAACCAAGCTTACAATCCTGTATAATGCCTAAGAAGCTTGGAATGACGGAAAAGATTTCGAATTTGAAAGGCATTAAAAGAGGCGATAGAAATGGGGTGTCCGCCTCTGTTAAACATTCGTCTGCGTTAAACATTAACAGAGGCAGGTGTTTTAGGGCTACCTCCTCCGTTAATAATTAATTAATAGATGGGCACCCTAAATAGACTGCATATGTTAATTCGATTAACATAGGCGAGCAACCTGGTCACCTCTAGAAATGGCCGATTAACACATATCATCTCAGAAAGGCGGATGGGCTGTTCACCTGTAGAGATGGATTTCGACCTCCTCTGTTAATCCTCTTTAAAGTAGTATAATCTAGAACTTTTTTTGTTCGCGACCGTGCCTAGACACGTATTTCATTAAGATAGGATAAAAGTACATTACAAGGTACCCACTCATTAGTAAGCGCCGATCTTACTAGAGAGAAGGAAAACCAAAAACATAAAAAGAAAGAAGGATCTGAGGGCGAAAAACAGAAAACCTAATGGCGATGATATCCAGCAGAATTATCTAGGGAAAGTCGAATTATTATAAGTTGGTTGGGCCAACTTGACTGAAGAACCGGACCAGACCACCAGAGCATATACAA